GAGTTGTCTGCTCTGCCATAGACACTCATACTGGCGAAAAAGTGGCCATCAAGAAAATACATGATATTTTTGAGCACATAGCTGATGCTGCTCGAATTCTTCGCGAGATAAAGCTTCTCAGGCTTCTTAGACATCCTGATATTGTAGAGATAAAGCACATCATGCTACCGCCATCAAGAAAGGATTTTAAGGATATTTATGTTGTTTTTGAACTTATGGAATCTGATCTTCATCAAGTTATTAAGGCTAATGATGATTTAACAAAAGAGCATTGCAAATTCTTTCTTTATCAACTTCTGCGTGCTTTGAAATATATCCATGCAGGTTAGCTCTTTCAACTTTATATGATTAGTTTCTGAATTTGACCAGTGAGGGTATTGATGCATTTTTATTTGCTTGGCACTTTGAAGTATGATCTGTTTAATTTATTTAGTACTTTTTAAATCTCTTTAAAATAATTCTTTTGGTTCAATATATTTCAGTTTAGGTTCAATGAATGCTTATATGTCTGTAGGTATGAATTAGTAGTTTCTCTTCAAAACAAATGTGTCGACTTGATTTCATAAATTGGATTGTTGGATAATAACAAAATTTAGTCCAATTTTGATACTTTCGTTTCTTTTTTGGTTTTTTATATTTGATGCTATACTAATTGTTTAAAAAGGCTTTCAAGGCGTACGCCTCGAGGCCGCCTCAAATTGAGGCACACAAAAAAGCCTTGAGGCTCAAGCCTCGATGTCATCAGCGAGTCTTACGCCTTTTTCGTTTGAGGTGGTACGTTTTCAAGCATAAAGCCTCTAGGCATTTGGGGTAGCACCTTGTTCAAGTTATGAAAAAAAAAATTTATTATTAATATATTTTATATTATATTATATATATTTGATAAAGGGCTTCAAAAATGTTAAAGCGTTATTTAACTATGATTGCTTGATTATATTATTAGTTTATTCTTTTGTTTTAAATTATTTTGGAATTCAAATTAATTGATAGTAAGATAAATTTGTAATAAATGAAGAACATTTTGAAGTTATAAATTAGATAGAATTAAATGATAATAAATATGATGATTCTTTTGAAGATGATGAAAGCAAGGTTGATGTAGCTATGGTTCTTGAACCTCATATAATATTTAAATGTTGAGTGAATGTTTATCGAGAATCATATTTCAAATTTCTATTTTATATCAATATTTAATATTATATATTTGATTTATGTCTTTATGATAATAAATTAAATCAACATATCAATGGTTTATATCATATTTATGAATTATTTTTAATTTTATGAGTTTTTTTCCCGAGGCCATACTCAACCCGCCTCGAAACTTACGACTCATCTCGCTAAAATAAAATGCCCCAGTTCTTGATTTCTCCGTTTTAACCTTTGATGCTAGTGTATTCATTTATCAGTATCTTATACATTATCCGTATTTGAGTGATCTTCACTTAGGGGATGTTTAATATTAAAATTCAGGAGGGTTTGAAATGCATTGCATATATTTGGAATTCAGGAGTTTTTTGGTTTTTTGTGTTTGGTTGAGACCAATAAAACATCACTTGAATGTTAAAAGAAAACATTGGGTGATGTAGAGTGTCGTCTGGGTCCTCATCTGTGGGGAGGCAAATTGTAGGAGGTCGTTGGCATTTGCGGGCATGTGCAAGATTGCATGTGTCACGTAGTATTCTAAATTTTCTTGGTTTCAGCGAATTCAGTGTGAGCTGTTCTAAATTCCTCAAAAATTTAACATGACTTTAGTTTTTTTTTTTTTTCTAATTAAACATTTGAAATCTAAAAACCCCTATATCTGTTGTAGCCTGCACTCAAAACACTATTAACCAAAGAGCCCATACATATTCACCTACTATTTAAGAACAAACTTCACATATGAAGCCTTTAGGGTTTTCAACTTTTTATGCAAATAAAAAAAAAATTTCTTTATTTTCTAAGCTTTAAAAAGGTGAAATAAGAATTGAAGTATTTTACCTTAGCGAGGCGAGGTGTATACCTTTAGGCAGACTGAGATGTGAACTTTCTACCAAAAGAAATTATAAAATTATAAATAATTCATAAATATTCCATAAATCATTAATAGATTTACTTGTTTATTATATACTAAAACACTAAATAAAAATGTTTTAGAAATGGAAAGTAATTTCATTAATGACAAATAAAAAACAATTATAAGAAAAGAAATATAATATTTAAAAGAAAATTATTTATTTAATTGAAAAATAAACCTTGCTTGCTCCGCTTAGGCATACATAATTGCTCAACGGCTTTCAAACTCATTATCCCTCACTAGCAGTCATTCGCAAGATTCCTTGATTGGAACTCCTGCTCGTTAATCTTTCATGCCGACCATTGTAAGCAATTTGCTCACACAGCTTGCTCATAGTCCTCTCTCTCTTTCTCTATCTCTCTCTATCTTACTCCAAATAATTTAAACTGGAAGCTATTATAAACCTTAGTAAATATATCATTATTTCATATAGCAACAAAACTTTGTTTTAATTTTTATTATGTTGTAAATTGAGGTGTCTGCATATGCGTCAAACTTCTCGGGACATTAAATCTCAAACATGTACGCCTCAATCAAAAAAGTATATGCTTCACTCAAGTCGTTAAGGTGTAAGCCTCGAGTTGATTTTTTTACCCCCAAGTGTGATTTGCCTGAGGCGTGCACCTTGAATGCTTTTTTTATTAATGATATCCGTGGTTCATTGAATGTTGACAGATGCTTTTAACTTATTTTTCGGACCTACATTGTTTAGTAATCATTTGGTGACAACATTATAATCTAAACTTAGCTTTATGTTTCACATTATTTGGTTCAGAATTTTTTTTATTAATTTTGATTTCTCCTTTTTATTCTGTGTATGCTGAGGTTTTACAATTCTATTGCAGCAAATGTTTATCATCGAGATTTGAAGCCAAAGAATATATTAGCAAATGCAAATTGCAAGCTCAAAATTTGTGATTTTGGATTAGCAAGAGTTGCATTCAATGATGCCCCCACAACGATATTTTGGACGGTATATTTTTTGTTATTTGGTGATTATCTTGCTTCCTTATCTTATTTGTATTTGTAATTTGCAACTAAGAGCCTACTGTTATTCTCTTTGACATATGTAGGATTATGTTGCTACAAGGTGGTATCGAGCACCCGAGCTATGTGGCTCTTTCTTCTCTAAGGTAATATTTTGGACCCCATGAAAACTGACAGAAAAGTTCTAATCATGAATAATTGTTCATATAATGCCAAATATATCCTAGCATAGACCCCCCATCAAATAGGGGCAAAAATGTAATATTATTATTGTACTAAATCCCAAATAAATAGGAGAGCATTTATTGAACAGGGTTTCCTTCATTGTTTACTGTTCATTTGAGAAAATATAGCTTCAATATAGAAATCATTTCTGCCTTTTCTCTATCTTTTCACTCTCTTCAAGCTATATTCCTTGATGTGAATCACGTACATTTTTTGATTTTATTTATTTATTTATTTGGGAAATGATATTTTTGGATTCAACACTAGTTTTTTTTCTTGTGGTTTCTTATGTTTCGTCGATAGGGAAGCCTCTTCTCTATTATGTAAAAGGTTCTGCTAGAAGTTTTGAGTGTTGATAAACCTTACAATGGTTAGGGCTTATTAGATGTAACTTGGCACATTTTCTAATTGCTTTTCTGAAGTATGATTGCGCGGTCATTTCTAGTAATGTAAAACTGCTTGATCAGGAATTATTTTGACCACCCTGCAAGCTGAAATTTTACACATCAGGTACCCCATATTGATTTCTTTCTCATGTAGATCTTTCGCGGTCGCAGCTCGATTTCTTTTAAAATTCCTGATCAGTATATAATGAAGTGATATATTCTGCATCTGCAGTACACACCAGGCATTGATATATGGAGCATAGGTTGCATTTTTGCTGAGGTTTTAACTGGGAAGCCCTTGTTTCCTGGGAAAAATGTGGTTCACCAGCTAGATTTGATGACGGATCTTCTCGGAACTCCTTCTATGGATGTCATTTCTCAAGTATGTCATCTTACTTTATATGATAGATTGTGAAAGGTGCTGTTAAGGATCTAACAGTGGGGTTTAAGGGCGGGTTCGGGTCTGACTCGAATTTGTGACTGTTTAACTCGAATCCGATCTGAATATTAAATGGGTTAAAAGTCGAACTCGAAACCAATCCGCCTTCAAACTATTGACACTAACCCAACACATATAACCCATTTAACATAAAGCATAACAACTATTCAGGTCAAATTCGTGTCAAAGATGAGTCAATTTCTTTTTAATTTTGGGTTGACGGCTCAACCTAAATCCGACCCTTAAAAACTTGTATTTTTCAAGTCTATTTCGGGTTGGTTTAATTTTTCACTTCCCTAGGTGTTGTAATTCCAAACTTATTGAATTTCTTGTTTGAGTCCAGGTGCGAAATGACAAGGCGAGGCGGTATCTTAGTAACATGAAGAAAAAGCAACCCATGCCATTTTCACAAAAGTTTCCAAACGCAGATCCTTTAGCTCTCAAACTTTTGGAAAGGCTTCTTGCATTTGATCCCAAGGACCGCCCGACCGCTGAAGGGGTATAAATCTGGTTCTTTGATGACTCTTCTGATGATAAAGTCGATTAATCCTTCTGAACTTTTGCAGAAAGTAATCATATTTTTTAGAAAAATTTACCCACATACCACATACTTCCTATGCACTTACCACATATCTAACAACTAAACTTCAATTTTTACATGCATGCCATCTTACTTGAGCATGAATAGTTGTATGATATTTTTGATGTAATTTGAAAGATTTGAATGGTAGAGATGTAATAAGTAAAAAATTTAGTTGTTAGATATGTAAATACATAGGAATTGGGGTGGGTATGTAGGTAAATGCCCCTTTTTTTATGATAGTTGCTGTTGGGAAATTTGTCCCCTGTTGACATGGTGTGATTTCAGGCATTGGCTGATCAGTATTTTAAGGGGTTAGCTAAAGTGGAAAGAGAGCCTTCGTGCCAACCAATCACAAAAATGGAGTTTGAATTTGAGAGACGGAGAGCAACAAAAGAGGACATCAAGGAGCTCATCTTTCGGGAAATATTGGAATATCACCCTCAACTTCTCAAAGATTACGTGAATGGAACCGAGAGAACAAATTTTCTTTATCCAAGGTTGTTTTTGTGAATTTTTTCTTCCTTCTTTTTTGTAGTCATTTTATTCTCCTGTTAAATGAGTTATTTCGTTTTGTCAATGATGCAGCGCTGTTGATAAATTTAGAAAGCAGTTTGTTCAGCTAGAAGAAAATGGTGGTAAAAGTGCCCCTGTTCTTCCACTTGAGAGGAAGCATGTTTCTCTTCCCAGGTATTTTGTTGGCCATTACAATATGATTTACTTACATTGATGCCATATCTAAGACTTAAAACTTTATTTTTTTTTTACATTTATACCACCTAAATCTTTCATGTCACCAAAAAAATTCCACTTTTTAAATTTTTAAAAAGTGATTCACCTTTTTATGCATAGGCAGATGTGTATCTGTAAAATTTGAACTTTAGGTGTTAGATATGTAAAGTAAATAAGAATTATGTGGCATGTATGTAAATCTTCCATTTATTTATTCACGTATGTGTGTGTACTTATCTAACACTTGAATTTTACTTTTTACATTTATAACACCAAATTTTAAAGATGAGATGTTAGTTATGTACACACACATACATAAATAAATAAATGGAAGATTTACATACATGTAAATATTGAAGTTGAGATGTTAGATATGTAAATACATATAAGAATTGAGTGGTATGCATGTAAATCACCAAATAAAAAAATAAAAAAAAAAGTTAATTTACATTTTAGTTGTTGAGGGTAGGGTTCTAATAAACAATAATGTTGTAATTTTGACAGATCAACAATGGTCCACTCAATGACAATACCTCCGAAAGAGCAAACTAATGCTAGAGATACTGAGCGTTTTCCGGGACATATGCCAAGGTTTTCGCAGCCGTCTCAGAAGATCCCGCTTGGTTTGTTCTTTACCCCTACTATATCTATCTTTCTTTATTTTTTTTCCTTTACTTTTAATTCATTATTCAAGAATTAAAATGAAGGGAAGCCCATCAACATCCCATCATTTCTATTTGATGCATTTGATAGCTTTAATGCCCATGAAATTTGTGTGAAGGCATCTTTATGCAAATTATATCAAAAGGTGGTTTGAATTCCATTATAATATCCTTATAAGCGCTAAAATTTGGTGTGATGGAATTTGAACTGTTGGTGGGGACAGAAAGAGCTACCAAGTACCAACCACTTGGCCATTCGGCTCATGTCTGATAACCATAGCATGGTTCATTTTTAATTCTGCAATGAACTTTTATATCTTTAATTTTTGGAAATAATTACATTCATATCATTTGAAATATTGCTATTTATAAATTTAGCACTCATATAAACTTTTTCCACTGCCAAATTAATGCATTTATCTGTAACAATGAAAGTTAATTTGAAAAATGGATGAAAGAGAGTGCTAGATTCATAAATAACAATGTTTAGAGTACTGTGCAATTGCTCCACTTTTAATTTATATTTGTTTTGTAAACATAAAGCTTTTGTTAACTTACTCGTGATATAGTTGTTCAAAGTTAACTCTCACCATGAGGTCATGGGTTCAAATTGTGCATATTGTCGTTTAGACTCGAATCAACTGTTCGAATAAAAGCTTTTATAACCTCATATTTCAGCATATTTGAATGGTAATGCTGGAAAAATTTTCCTTCCCCTTTCAGCAAGACCCGGAAAAGTTATAGGACCAGTAATGCCATTAGAGAATGGAGTCATAAGAGACCCCTACGACCCCCGCCGTCTCATCCGCAACTCCCCGCCATCATCGCAGCAACAACCCAACCTTCCTCTACCTCCTTCCTCCTGCAGCTTTCACAGATGTTCCATTCTGTCCGAAACCCGAAGAGACGTGGAAGCCAAGGAAGATCATCCCTCCCATCACAATAAAGAACTGAAGCCTTCTTCCATTCCTTCACACTTACCTCAAGACAATGCAGCTTCTTCCCCGGACTTAATGCATAGAATCTTCTCCGCCGGCTCCGGTGATCACCGGAAGGTTTCCGCCGTGGAGGACTTTTTAGTCCATTACTAGCCTTCAGGTTTCTCTACTTCTCCCTTTGCTCGTACTGACTGGTTGGTGGGCTGGTGTAAAAATTAAGGGGATGTGTTTGTTTACTACTAGTATTAGAGGATATTAAATAAGAAGTATGCGGCAAATTAATTTATATTTAGTTTGAATTATATTTTTAACCCACGTGTACCTTATTATGTATTTATTCAGTAGGACCCACCTCACTTTGCGAGATTAAATAAATAAAAGAAAACTGATTTTTTGGCCGTGGGGGCATAAGAAAATGAATATTCATATAGGTGTCTTACGTTAGGACTCATGTTTTATTTGTTGGGGCCAACATATAATCTTATTTCTTCAATGGATTGCTTCATGTATCATATTTCACCCATATGTAATCCAGGTTTATTATTGAAAAACAATATATCTGATTTGATGAATTCATTTGTTCAATGCGTAAGAAAATACCACCAAAATATTATTACAATACCACCACAATATCACAACAATAACATCATTCTTCTAAAACTTGATTAACACTTTTTTTTCGGTAGCCATTTTCAAAATAAGAATATAACATCCCATTAGTGTAGCCTAACGTATAATTCATTTATGTGAAAAATCATAACAACAACATTCTTAAAATGTCATCATGATACCACCGAATTATCATCATTTATCTAAAGTTTAGTAACACTTTTGTTGAAGCAATTTTCAAACAAAGAATATTCATATAATAATCTATTGTTTCTCATATTAATGGAGCAGAAGATATGACATTATATGAAAAATCACTATGATTGATTGTATAATAGCCATAATATCACCACAAAATTATTATAATACCAACAAAATAACACAACAATATCACAATTTCTCTAAAACTTGATAATACTTTTTATAATAATTTTCAAATAAAAATATTCATAACATCATAATCTATTCACATCAGTAAAGCAAAAGATATAGTTCATTTGTGTTAAAAATAATAACACCTATTTGGTAGCAATTTTCAAACAAACAAGGTTCATGATATCATAATATATTGTTTCTCACATTAATGAAGCAGAAGATATGATTTATTTGTGTGGATCACCAAAATATCGTCACAATAAAACTAAAATACCACCAAAATATCACAATAATATTACCAAAATTGAAAATACACAACACCATTATAATAACACAAAAGTAACACCACAATACTATCAAAATACTGTCAAAATATTATCATAATACAACCACAATATCATCAAAATATCATCACAATAATATTATTTCTCTAAGACTTGGTAATACATTTTGATAGCAATTTTTAAACAAAGAATGTTCATAACATTATAATTTATTATTTTTTACATCAGATGAGAATGTTCATTTGTGTAATTGTGTGAACACTAAAATACCACAACAATATTACCACAGTATCACCCAAATGCCACCAAAATGCCTTGAAAATACCACCACAATATCACAAATTCTCTAAAACTCAATAACACTTTTTTTGCAACAATTTTCAAACAAAGAATATTCGTAACATCATAATATATTATTTCTCATATTGGTGAAGCGGAAAATATTGCTCATTTATGTGAACCACCAAAATACTGCTACAATACCGCACAATACAAACAAAATATTACCACAATGTCATCATAATACCAACACAATACCGCTAGAGTATCACTAAACACCACCATAATATCGCTCTTTCTCTAAAACACGATAATATTTTTTTATAGCAACTTTCAAATAAAGGTTAATAACATTATAATCTATAGTTTCTCGCATTATTGAAATAGAATATACGGTTCATTTGTGTTAAAAAACACAGTATCACTAAAATATACCAAAATATCAACATTTTTCTAAAACTTAGTAACACTTTCTTGATAACAATTGTCAAACAAAGGAGGTACATAACATCATAATATATTATTTTTCACATCAGTGGAGCGGAAGTTATGTTCCATATCTGTGAAAAAACACATTGTACTTTCATGCGATAAGCATCATTTATGTCATGTTTTTTTGTTCTATTTAATTCAAAAAAAAAAATCATGGTCAGGTCAGATTTCGTCCATTTTTATCTACAAGTAGATTCCCCTAAAAATCCTAATTCTTAAATCTTTTTTTTTTTTTTTTGTAGGAAAATGAATCCAAGAATGAATACATGTATATGCAAGCCTTCAGCAACAAGATTTGTTTGTGATTGTATTGTTCAAAACTTGAATAAAAAAATTATAAATCATCTCAAGGAGTTAAAACATATAGCAATATGCCTGCATACCAATAAGAAAATCCTCTTATATTGTAAATTATGAATTGATGTGATATTAAGAAAATAGTTTTCAATATTGGTGGCAAAAACCTAAGCTTCACATTCAAGACAATTGCCTTAATTGTTGGTATGCCCAAATAGAGGAGAAGTTAAATTGGAGAATTGTCCCCTTATCAATTGTTAATTTCGTACAAGTGAAAAATGAAATAATGAAGGTTAGTTCAGAGGAGATTGTTGCCTATGTTGTCGAATCATACATAAAATTTATGCTGTCAAACTAATTCTTCCCATCGAACAAATATAGAGTGTTGAGTGATCTCTACAACTTTGTTGAAGATGTACATACTTTCTCTTCATTTAATTGTTCAAGTGTCATATAATTTTCTTGTTGAGCAAATTGATTTTATCGTTTGAAAAATAAGACGAAAACAGTCACTTGGATATATGAGTGGCTTTGTTGCTCTGTTAACGGTTAGCATGTTGCATGTCAACAAATATATAATTTTTGGGCATACAACATAATGACTTTTCTTTTTTACATATTTAATTTTATAAGCATACTTCCATCCTTGCTCTCAACTCACCCGACGTAAGGCCTCACATGATGAGGTGGTCGAAAGGGGGAATCTGGAGAACAAAATCTTGGGATTTATTATTTTCTAAACTAAGCCCCTAACAGATAACAAAGAAAACCTAAATTTTTCCATTGATTAGATGACATTACATTTGCATATATAGCATGCTAATTGATTGATTGATTATTATAAGTTTATGATTCTTTTAAGGACTTCAATGAAGAGAAGCTACAACTACTTGTTCCAACAATACACAATCCCCCAAGTTCAGCTTGTAGTCATCGTACTAACCCGGCTACTAGCTTGCCTCCAACTTATAAGAGGGAGTATCGGCGTAAGCTAGTCTAGCTCGGGATCTCTCATTCTTGACACCAATTTTTTTACTTCTCATCTTCAAAATTGCTCATAAGTTCTATGCAGATTTCTCGTAGTTATGCTTCGTGAATGTTGTTCTCCTCAATATATAGCACAAAATCATAAACAAAAACCCTCAAACGTGAAGAAAAAATGAAAGCGATCTTAAAAGAAGAAATAAAGGCAGAAACCAGTTTTTGTATAAGTCACCTTTTTCAATTTTTGGGTTAGTTTCAGGTCGGGTTCAACTCACCGCCAAAAATCAGTTTTTTACCTCATGAAGTGGGTCTAGCCGAGCAAACATGTGTAAAATTGCTATTGGACTTCAGACATAACATTTTTTTCGAAGGAACAAACAATCTTATTAAAGGGGAAAAAAAAAAGTAAAAAAATCCTAATTCCAATAAAATATAAATTCATGAAAAAAATCACTATAAAATCTCTAAAAACATAGCAAAATACTAATTTAAAAAACGAATCTTGCCATCACCTAAGCACATAATTCATGTCAAATTGAATTTGGAAGACGAAGATCATGACCCAATGTTTTCCCATCACCATTTCTAGTAAAAGGAATGTATAAGAAACTTCTCACCAACAACTCATTCAAAAATGCTATGTGCAAGCCCCAATTTGACACATTAAATAATAATAATAATAATATAACTACCACAAAATTCTAATTTATCTACATATCTAACACCTCAACTTCAAAATTTACATGCATACCACTCAACTCTTTAACACCACGTCAAAAATATCACTATTTACGTAAATAAATACACCTTCTCATGCATAAGTTTATAACACTAATATACCACTCAAATCTTTAACACCACATCAAAAATATCACTATTTAAGTAAAAAAATACACCTTCCCATGCATAAGTTCATAACACTAATAGTATAAATAAATATCAATTTGTACGCGTTAGATATGTAAATACATAAAAATCATGCAGCATGTCATGTAAATTTCCCAAACAATAATAATAAAACTTAATCCAAAACCTGCATAACACATACCTGATCCACGGCACAAAACTTCAACGCGCCGTAAATGGAGCAGTGAAGCCGAACCGAATTGAAAGAAGAGTTGGGTTTAATTTCTACCCATTTTCCATCAATCTTCTCAACATGCTCATGCTCTTCCGGAACGCCCACAAACGAGATCGCTTCCATTTGTTTGCAGATCTCGCTCAATTTCTCTATGGAGAAAATAATGTCGAATTCATCTTCTTCCATTCCGTCCTCGTAGATTTTGAGCGCCATTTCTGCCCTACAAGAGCTCGCCCAACCAAAATATAATGGGCTGCCAAACCCACTTCTCTCGCCCACAGAACATACCTGTGTACAAATCACTTTTAGGGGCATCTACTTACATTCCACCCAATTCCCTATGTATTTACGCATCTGATATCTACATTTTAATTTTTTACATTTATACCATCCAAATCATTCATATGGCAACGAAAATATCACCATATTAACTTTTAAAAGGTAATATGCGTTTTTTCATGCGCAGGTAAGATGGCACATATAATTTTAAAATTTAAGTCTAAATACATAAGGATTGAGTGGTATAATGCTATGCATGTAAATCTACCAATGTTTTTATGCCGATTATTTAAATACCTGAACTTTACTATTTACATTTATATCACCCTAATCTTTTGTATCACATAAAAAAATAATGAAATAAATCTTCCCATGCATAAGATTGGTATATATAAAAAAATTGAAGTTTAGACGTTAGATACGTAAATACATGAATCAAATGGTATGTATGTAAATCTTCTAATAAGAAAATACGCACATACCATTGAATTTATGTGTGTTCAAATGTTATAATATTATAATATCTGAAGAGAGATTAAAAATCTCACTAGTATCAAGTTACCTAAAGTGAACTAAATGTTTTCTTGCATGTATTTTGATGTTATTTATAGCTTAGGGGTGTAGTATATCAGCAAATATAATGATTTGGGGGCATTTTGTCGAGTGAATTAGTAGTGTGCTGTGATTTTTTTGACGGGAATTGGGAAAATTTTGTGTTTAGTATGAAAATTTATAAATACAATTTAAAGCTTTATTGAATTTGAAGTTTAGATAGGAGTTCATTTTGGTCGAATTTAGAATTCAATCGATTTGCATTTAAAATGTTATAGGCAAGTTGCCGCCGCCACCGCCCTCCACCGCCTGTCGTCTGCCGCCTGTCGTCCACCGCTGCCCCTTGTCATGGGTTGTAACTTGCCGCCAGTCGCCCGCTACCCTTTGCCCATGCAAAGACATTGTTTTCAATCTACTTCAAATAAAAATAAAAAAAAAAATCTAAGCTTATTTTACTGTGAAACAAATAACTCAAAAGTACTTCAATATATTGTAATCATAGTAGTCAATAAATATTTTACATTACATTTTATTTTTAATAGACCAAACGGCCCCTTAGAGATTATATATGTAAATATGGAGAAATAATAGGCAACCAAAGCCCGCATCTACGCCCACAAAAGTTAGAGCATAAATGTAAAAAGAAAATTGGGGCATTTTGAGGGAATGTAGAAATAGAGGGAGAGTTAACAATACAATAATGGTTTTCACTAGGTGAGTTATATAGATATAACTGAATCTTTATGTATTTATATATGTAACATATAAATCTTATATTTATACAGCATCTTAGTCTTTAAATGACATAAAAAACAAAACTAACATTGATTAATCTCAAGTGATATAAAGTCAACGATATGTGACGCTCAGTGATATAAAGTCACGCCATATTCAAGAAATTGGCAAGACAACCATGAGATGGAAGTTTTTAAAGAAGATCAGAATGTAGAGAGTAATCCAAGAGACTCTAGAATATTCCACCACATTCTAGAAAATGTTAGAAGGAAAAGCTCCAAGGAGAACTCAAGAATAACCAAGAAAAGTTTCGGGCTATGCATGTATATAAAGAATGGTGTAGAAATATCTAGAAAGTAGACAATTCTAATGTAATCTGGAAAGTTCTCTTAGGCTTGAAGAAAACTATAAATAGTTGTCTCTCCCGTTCATTTGGATCCATCCAAGCATTCATCCAGGAGCCATCCAACGATCCTAAGCATTCAAGTGTTCTAAAAAACTCTTTCTTACAGAAGTGTTACTTTCTCCAATACTTCTCTCTACTCTTCTTACTAAAGTGTTTTGTGCTTACAAGTCCAAGCGTTGTGAGGGTTAAACTGATTGAGTGCAAATGAAGAGTGCTAAAGTCGCATGGGAGACTTGAGATAAATTAGTCCGTGACAATTGGTATCAGAACCTCGGTTTAAAGGTATGTCAAAGAGCATCAAAGAGCGCACAATGGAGTCTGAAACCACTAATATGGAGTCATCTCAACAAGGGCGAGGTCATCAGGAGCAACAAGATCCAGCTACATCCAAGCCATATGGGAGGTCCAAGAAGATCGTGCACAACTTTGATTTGCGCCTTGCATGGGTGGAAGAGGCAATGAATGGCGTGAAGGCCCAGATAGAGGATCTGGGCCAAAAGGTTGATGGACTCGAGGTGGAGAACATCACACAATCCATTTGACAATCAGAGGTATAATGCTCCAACTGGAAGAGTATTTAAGAGACCAAATGGCTAAGATACAGGAAAACTTGATGTGAGAGCTCTAGGAGGAACGAAGAGCCCATGAAGACGAGATGAGCGGCGTACATGCTAGCTTAAAAGAGATGCGTGGAGACCATTTGTTATGCAAGAGAGCAATAACGACATCCATTAACAATCATATCTTTCGAAACCAAACACATCGACGTACCAAAAACTAAGAGTTTTTGGGGAGCTCGCAATGCAAAGGAAGTAGACAACTTCCTATGGGGACTTGACCAATACTTTGGAGCGATGGAGATTACAGATGAAACAAGAATTCAATTTACAACCCTTTATCACTCAGACATCGCTATGTTATGGTGGGGAAGAAGAGATTTTGAGAATGTATGTGCACAACAGCCACCTTTGATGACTTCAAAAAGGAGCTACAAAGACAATTATACCCGATGAGGTTAGAGCCCCATTGTAAAGACTCAAACAAGGGGGATCGATTCGAGAATTTATTAGGAAGTTCACAAGCTTGGTTCTTGAAATTTTTGACATATCTGACAAAAATGTTCCTTTTCAACTTCAGAGATGGACTCCAACAATAGACAAAGACTAAGCTTAGGAGGCGCGGAGTGCAAGATCTTGTCACTGCCATCGCGGTCGCCGAAAGACTAATTGATTACTCAAAAGAGTACACAAAGCCTAAAGATAAGAAGAGCACCTATGTCAAAGATGGGGAAAACAAGGATCGACATAAGAAAGAGACCAGCCACGAATCGAATACACCTAAGGCAAAAGACAAATGAAAGTCTAAAATGACAACCAAACCGCATAACAACTGCTTCATTTGTGGATGATCTCATTGGGCAAGGAATTGCCCTCAAAAGAAGGCTCTAAACTCTCTCCTTACAAGCCATCAAGTGGAAGAAAGTGGTGATATGGCGACACAAGTAGAGGTTAGACAACAGTTGAATGGGATGCAAGCTTCAACAAAACCCCAAGTAAAAGGATTACTCTTTGTGAACATGGTAATAGGCGGGAAGACCCTAGAACGGTGGACACAGGTGCTTCTCACAACTTCATCTTTATTGCAAAAAAATTGGGTTTGCAAATAACTGAAGGGGGAGACTCCATCAAGTTAGTCAATTCAGCAGTAAGATCAAACAATGGAATAGCTAGTTGAGTAAAGACTAATATTGGAGAGTGGTCAGGTACCTTAGACTTCTCCGTCATTCTGATGGATGATTCTAAAGTTGTTTTAGGGATGAACTTCTTGGATCAAGCAAGAGCATTCCCAATATGTTTTGCCAATAGTATGTGCATCATGCAAGAGAATCAAGCTTTCTTAGTAACAAACAGGGAGTCAAAATGTTGTCAATCATCCAATTAAAGGAGGCCATTCCACGAGATGAAGAGAGCTACTTGGCTATTCGTCATGACTTCAATGAGGAAGGGAACCCCGAGATGAAATGCCAAGGAAAGTGATGGCAGTGCATGTGGAAACTAAAGGTGTTTAAAAAGAACTACCACCAAAAAGAGAGAAAGATCATCAACTCAGGCTGGAGCCAAGGACTGAGTCGTCAGCCATGAAATCTTACTGCAAGGAATCCCTCCCCCATACAACCAATAATAAAGAAAAAAAACCAATAGCTTTCAAGTTTGCCAAGTCGGTGAGCAAGCATAAGGAGTTGGTCCGTGTGTCACTGCGAGAGACTACAAGAAATACAAAATGGGCAGACAAAAATATGAAGCACAAAGACACATGTGAAAAGAAAAAAACAGACAATATCAAGTGGATGTCGCGATGAGGACATTGCGAGATTAAGTGGGGAGTGTCACGCTCCGCCATATTCAATAAATTGGTAAGACAACCATGAGATTGAAGATTCTAGAGAAGACAAGAATGTAGTGAGCCATCCAAAGGACTCTAGAAGATTCCACCACATTCCAGAAAATGTTAGAAGGAAAAGCTCCAAGGAGAATTCAAAAATAACCTAGAAAGGTCTAGGACTATGCATGCATATAAAGAATGGTGTAGAACAATCTAGAAACTAGACAATTCTAATGCAATCTAGAAAGTTCTCTTAGGCTTGGAGAGGACTATAAATAGGAGTCCCTCCCCCGCATTTGAATCTATCCAAAAACCATCCAAAGATCCTAAGCATTCAAGTGTGTATCCACTCTTTTTTAGTGAAGTATTTCTTTCTCCAATATTTCTCTCTACTCTTCTTTCTAGAGTGATTTGTGCTTACAATTTCAACTTTTGTGAGGGTTAGGCTGATTTAATGCCAAGAAAGAGCGCTAAAACTGCACGGGTGACTTGAGATAAGTTAGTCTATGGCAGACAGGTCTACTATGCACAGGAACCATCGTTGTATGGCTTCAAGGACAAGGACGATGACATTAGTGATCGAAGCCGAAAGAGTTGATGTCAAGCAAGCTAGAGCTTTGTCGAGCAAGTAATGTACCAAACTTTAGTGTAGGAGACGATGAAGAGCTTGGTCGAGCAAGGCAGGTTGTCACGGGTAGGAATCTTGAACTCTATGGTGCTCCAATGAGGGCGAGGAAGAGGATACCATGCTCGAGCATAGGGAGGAGTTGGAGGTGAAACCGTGACATTTTATTGAGTTTTGAGTAATTTTTACCTAATAAATTTATTATGTATTTTAATATTTTTATTAATGTGAAACAAAAATTAACCTAAACTTTAATTTATGAAATATTAGACTTTAAAACAAATTTAATAACTAATAAGAAACAAAATA